TTGAACTCAGGTCTCTCACTTGCAAAGCGGGTGCTCTAACCACTGAGCTACAGGACTCCTTGAAGATTATTCAAGGGAATGTTTCAAATAAGGCCATCATTGAAACAGGATCTGATAACATCTTGGTTAAATAGATTTTATTTTTGTTATAAATGTAATGGAACATAGCCCCGAGAGAACAATAATTAAAGGGCTAGCTCACTTGTAATAAAGCATTTCTTATAGAAGGAACACAATATACAGTGTATGTGTCACCCTAAATCAAGTAAATCCAACTATATGCTAATTTGTTATTTCTGTTTGCATTATGTAAATATTACATACTATTAAGAACCTCGTGAAAACATTACACCCACATTGATTTACAGAATTTCTATTGAGATACATTGGTAGTAACTTCACATATTGTACTGTTACTAAATAATCACAATTATAATAATATTAATAATAATATTCCTTATCAGGTCTTCAAGACGTCTCAAAGCGCTTCACAGAATATACTGTAAAGTGAATTGACTGTATATTTTGTGGGCGAAAGTCGGCAGCCAATTGCGCATAGCAGCGTCGTGGATTGATTCTATTCCCTTAGTGTTTAAAAATCACAGTCCCCTGTCTGTACTGTTCACATGCCACCACTAATACATTAGAGAAAGAAAACATTCTTAGTCTAATCTCACACGAGACAAAGTAAGCCATTTAATCAAAACCCACAGTATTTTATTTCAATCACAACTGAAGCCCTATTCCAAAAGTGGCTTAATCCAAATATTTGTTCAATGGCCTTCATGTTGTTCAACCTATTTACTGGCATTAAAATAAAACAATGCCAGTAAAATGCATACAAAGAAAATACACGTTAATGCAAATTTTCACAGAATATTTGGTTTCAGTGGACGTGGAGTGACACACATTGAAACACATTGTTTCTTGATTAAATGGTCTACAGTGGCTTAATCCAAATATCTATGAATGAATATTTATATGAATGCACCCTAATAACATTTAACTCTGCCTGGATGGCAGAAATGCAGGTAAGTTATACTTTTATAGCATTTGCAGAGTTCCTTCAGACAATTGTGAAGACTGTCAGGGGTTGTATGGCTGCATCAAGTGGTCTCATCTTGACAGCTCCACATTAAGAATACGTCAGCTTTAAAGTAAAGTTGCTTCTCCAGGTATTGACATTCTGTCGCAAGTTACGTCTCATCTCCTGAAATTTCAATCAAATCATTTCTCATTGCAAGCGGTTCCAAACGTACATTGCAAATAAAAAGCCGAGTTTTAAAACTAGGAGCTTCAACGACAAGCTACTTGATAGATATCAATGAACAAAGGCAAAAAATCTGCCGGCACTCTGAAAGTTAAAAGATGCATGTAATACCACAACAGTAATATGAATAGAATTCTCGCTATTTAGGTACTGAATGTGATGCGTCTCCCAGTTGGTGAAGGTCACCTACACAACCCGTTCATGAGTTATTCATTCCCCTCATATTTGGAGCAAATACCCACATCCATCATCTGGGGAGTTGTGATTGATGAGCACTTGCCGTTTCCTTTCTCTTCCCTCGAACCAAGTGTTTAATGTGCTGGAACGTCTCAATTCCTGAATCAAGTTGTTAAGAAACGTAAAAGTATACTGAATTAAGTAGGCCATTCGGCCCATCAAGCTCATTTACCCCACAGAACACAGAACCTATTCTATTATGGCCAACACAATTGGGATCCTGCACAGCTAACATTAGAGACAACCAAGTATATTCATCCATCCCCCACCACACATGTTCACCAATGATCTCCTTTCTGCTACAGACAACATTGTTCTCCCCTCCACCACCACAGAAACCACTGTCTGTAGTCAAATAAAATTGGTCCCTCACTCCATGGTTGTTTGTGAGCCATTGCTGTGCGCAAAATGGCTGCTGCGTTTCGCCCACAAAATACAAAGTCAAAACCACTTTACAGTATATCCTGTGCAGCGCTTTGAGACATCTTGATGACGTGATAAGGATTATTATTAGCTGTCTCAGACCATATCTAACCTTATAAACCTCTCATACTGCTTCCAAGCAAACACTTAACTTGAAGTTCAATCGAAGTGGCATCAATTGCTTATGCTGGGAGTTCGCTACTTTACAGGGAATACTACTGTCTTCTGATCTCTAGTCTTGCTTGACTTTTGTTCGTTTTGAACCCATCACCTCCAGTTCCTGACTCTCACTGCATGTCACCCAGCACTCACATCTGCATCATCTATGCCTTGTGGAGTTTTCAATCCTGCCGAGCTTCACATCTCATTGATAAACCAGGATAGGCGAGTCTCTGAATTTGGTGAAAGCTCTGCAGACTTTTTTTATTGATAAGTATGTTAAGTCTTGCAAACATCCTCATTGCTCTTCAATGCATTATTTTATTGTGGAGTGGTCAAAATTGTATTCCAAATGTAAACTGGCCAGCATTATATTCATCTCCATCAAAATCATCTCCCATAGGACAGACTTCACCATAAAGGCTTTTATTTGCAGGGTTGAGATGATGTCTACACCTGCATCTCATTGATAAGCCAGAGAAGCTCATTAATCATCAACAATGCTAATTATTACTGCATTGCTACCTGGTTTTAGCCGGGATGTCTCCTCAGAGCACATCAGCTGCAGGAAGACCTAGTTTAGTCCCCCTCCCTTTCACAAGGAGGGTATTAAATGCTGTTAATGTCTGAATATCAGTCACCTTGCTAAGATGATGAACAAAGATTTTTTCTAAAAGTGGGAGCGAATATCATTCTGTATGGCTTTAACCCCAAGCTCTCATGAGCACCTTCAGCAAAGTCACACTGTAATAATGGGTCCTTCTGGCTGAGATTATAAACTTAATGCTGAATTATAACATCAACCTATTATTTTACAAACACTGGAAACTGCATTGCAACATTTCAAACGAATATCACTTAAGACCGGACAGCTATTTCAAGAAATAAAGAGACTTTGATCCTGTCATTGTGGATTAGATTAAAGACATCTGAAGGGTTAGTGCTTTAAGATAGTCCAACACGTTTCAAGAAAGTGACTTTGATTAAATCTTTTTATCTCTTTTACTAAGTCAGACTCCTTTGAACTGTATCTCGTGAACCATACACAATTAGCGAATGGACAACAGTTATCAGATAAGATCTCATTCAGCTTTCTCTACCTCCTCCTAAACAGATACTGTCATCAAATCTGCAGTGTCAATTTGCTGTCAGTCCTTACACAATTAAGACAATTACTTTCCCATTATTTTTATTCTAAAATCTATTTGAATTGAATCTTACGTACTGCATTTCTCCTCTCAATCTGCCAGAGGCAGAGAAATTCTTGAATTTGTGATATTGGTCTGAAATGGCCAGTTAGTTCCTTTTTCCCTAAAAAAAAGACACTGTGCCTGGCTCACTTTTACCATTTACCTGGGTCAGAAGATTTTGGGTTAAAACCCCACGTCAGGACTTTGAGCTCACAGTCCAGGTAACACTCCACTGCAGTACTAGAGGAACACTGTATTGTTGGAGAATATTAAAACTAAGGTCCTGTTTGCCTGCTCAGGTGGATGTTAAAGATTGCAATGGCAGCTTTCTCCAGTGTCCTGATCAACAGTCCTCCAGATTAATTGGTCGTTCATTTCATGGCTGTTTGCAGGAACAAGCTGTGGGCAAATTCTCTGCCTACAAATACAATCAATACACTTGACCCATAAAGTACTTTGAGATGTTTTGATATTCTAGGTGCTATATTAAATGGCAAAGATTTACATTATTTTACTATAGTTATGTTCTTTTGATTTAAAAAAAAGTACAGGTGCAACTGTGTAATAAGGTTCGGTGCTTGAAGAAATTTCACTCAGTTGCAAACAGTGAACTTTTTGCATAAGGTCTCACATTGGTTGGAACATGAGAACACAAGTGTTGCTACACAAAAGAAGACCCAGATCCATCCTGTTTGCCTTCCGCCACCCCAGCACACATCATGCTCCAAACTACAGACTGTACCCTGAGATATTATTTCCTAACAGAAATCTATCTAATTCGTTCTTGAAACAAAAAAAAATCACCACTTTCTGCTTCCACCGTGTATCTCCCTGGGGGTGGGGGGAACCCAGTTCCCATCCATTGACTGCTCACTCACTGGAGTGGTATTTCCATAGATCTGTTTTGAGCATTGGGTGCCTCAGAAAGTTATTCACCACTGTTGATGGTACAAATACCTGGTCTGCTCTATGCCCAGCTGTCCCAATCTCAGTAGGATCATTTCAGTGCACAACAACAAGAAGAGTGGTTACAGTCGAAATAAAAGGCTTTGGCTTCTCAGTCTTAAAAAAAAGAAGTACCACACAGTGCCCTTCCCTCGCTGTGGTATGAATCGAGCAGACTGTGTCCATGTGAAATTCTGTACGACAAAAGTCGGATGCTGTGCCCTCCCGAGGGTTTTCTCATGTGAAAGAAAGAGATCCCTTGCCTCCCCCTTGGCTTGAACAAAAGAGACTATATCGCCAGCAGGAGCTCCCAATGTGTGTGTGTGTGTGTGGGAGGGGGAGAGGTTCCCAGGACTGACCTGGGAAGGACTGAGAGGGACAATACAATGCAATAAAAACACGAGCTTTCCATTGCACTGCACACAGTGGGTCTGGTTCGTGCATTGTCTCCCAACACATTACTGCACTGCCTTTGAAACCAAGACTTTAACCACTCATTTACAGTCGTCAATGCATTGCCTCTGTGGCTCTTTGCACGGAATTGCACATAAGTTTATCGCTGTTTAAAGTTATTTTTTAATATATATATATATACATATAAAAAGAGTATGAAGTCGACACGCCTCGACATATTAACCCCAAGTTGGTGAACGCAGTCATATACAGGACAATCCCCCAAACCACAGTATTCCACATGCAAACGGATCTATCGCAAAGGCAACTTTGATGCCTTGTGTTTAAACAGAAATGCTTTCGAAGAGGGAAAACTCACTCACCAGCTGAAGAGTACAGAGAAAGATGAAGGTGCACCTCCCAGTGCAACAGCCCATCCTCACAGCAACTGGGAAGCAATTGCAGGGCAATTAACAACCCAAACCCACCCACCCCAGCACTACAGTTTACAATGTAATGTTGCTGCAGTCGGCTTCACTGGGGCTTTCCTTGTGCCATGAGTGGAGGCTGCTGTGTCTGGTAGTACAGGAGCAGAGGAAGCAGCCAGAGCAAAGACCAGCAGGGAGGTTGCAAGGTGTTTCCTTATGACATGAGATGATGGGCTGGGAGTTGGGTTGGATGAGGCGGTGGCGATAAGAGCAGCAGCTTTGGATCCTGGCAGAAAGTTGTCCTTCAGTGCGTCTGTGTCATGATGTTGTGTGTGTCTGTGTTGTTGTGTGTGTGTGTTGCTGACGCGTTGATGGGAGGGGAGAGAGGAGAGGGTCTTATTAATTCATTCATTCACTGACTCACTCACTCATCACTCATTGACTAATGTTACACACCTTAGGGGTGGGTAGGGGAAAAAAGAGACCTAACTTGTATTAGCACATCACTCAGTTGGCAGATTTTTTTTTCCTGCTAAAACGCCTTTAGGTTTAACCTTATTAGGAATGTGTGTGTTTTTCCTCTCAAATCAGTCTCAAACCTTCCCACGTCGGGGAACAAATAATGTTTCCCAACAACCAACTAACTAACTAACTAACTAACTCGAAACAACTCAACAGTTATTTACTCCAGAGAAGTTTACTTGACCATAACCCAAATAATAATAATAATAATTGGGGGGCACTCAATCCACGGCTGTTTGTGGGACGCTGCTGTGCGCAATTGGCTGCTGCGTTTTGCCCACAAAATATACAGTCAATTCACTTTACAGTATATGCTGTGAAGCGCTTTGAGACGTCTCAAAGACGTGATAAGGCGCTACATCAACAACAGCAACAACAAAATAATATTTGCATAGCGCATTCACATCTGGAAGACGTCCCAAGGCGTCATATCAAATGGAAGGATTATTATTATTGTTGTTATTATTATTATTATTATGATTGTAAAAGCCGCAGTTGAGATTCCTCTGGAGAGAGGCAGTAATCATTTGGTGCAAAGCAGTCTGTCTGAAATTGACAATTGACATCAAACTAAACAGAGTCCCATTAATTTCGCTGTGTTATCAAGATCCAGTGATTGAATGCAAATTACGCCTGGGCTCTAAATATTCATAACCCCTTTAAAGATCTGCCCATATTTTGCACCACTTTAATAATCTCAGGAAGCAGCAAATGGAAACGCTCTCAAGTTCCAAGTATTGTGCGTAAATTCGTTCAATTGTGACAATGGTCACCACAGTAACCACAGCTTGGAAGGTCAGGGAATCTGAACTATATATAAGATTACCAATAATTACAGCACAACTACCGCTAACAGTTTTTGGCTGCCATGGTACAAACTAACTTTGGAGACGTCCTGAATTAAACGTCCGCCCATTCCCTCCCCCTTCAAGAAAACGTTTGCTAATTGACCTTAACAATAAATGCTTTTTGTTGCGTCTAAACTTATGCACCAACGAGGCCCTCTAGTGGCATTCGTCATTAAGTGATCCAGAGGAAATGAAAAGTAAAACGTGTGCGTGTGTGAGCGCACTGAAGAAATGCCCTTTAGTTTGCTCACATAGCTCTCTGTTTGTAAACCCTTTTAAAAATATATCTTTGCAGCCAGCACAGGATGAAGTTACCGAGCTCTACGCGTCTCTGAGTTGGTGTGAGGACAATATATAGTTCTGCTTCATCTATTTTGGTGCTTCACTTAACTTGGCGGATAATCTATTCTATGTCAATGACTGTGTCATGTTCTCATGTTCCTTCAACTAATAATGTGCCACGGCTTGGGTAATGGGTAAAGACTGGATAAGTGCATCGAGACATTATTTTACCATATGCAAATGTATTGATATACACAGAGACTGTAAGTTATGTGAATGTTTCTTTTTTTTTCTTAAACTGTTGACATCTTCTGCTTTCCAAGTGAACAAAAACACTTTTGCCTTTTTTAAAAAAAAATCAGACAGTTTTAGGTTGGATATTGGTACAATTTAGACCTGAATTGAACTTGAAATAAATCTCCCTTCTCACTCTGTGCTGGGTCACAAGGCTAAAATCAGCTGATTTATCACATACCAGCAAATGGAAACTGGAACCTTTCCTATCTACATGGCTCAGCTATTTTATGAATAAACTCATCGAGACAGTTCTGTTCAATGTAATTCAATGAAATTGCTTTAAGGGCTGTGGGCAATTCTAATTTTCCAACAGTTGCATACTTTGTACAGACTAAAGTTTTGTTTCTTTGTGGGTAATTGCTTAGAAATGTTTGGATGTTTCTTTCACATGTGTGCAGACATACATGCACTTTTCATAGTTATATATATATTAAAGTTAATTAACACATGACAGACCGGCAAGGAGAAACATGCTCAAATCCCAAACTCCGCTGACATTTAAATGTTGTCTAATCTAATAAACTGGTATTTAATCAGTACATGATCAGCACTGAGCATACTGTCTCAGGACCAAGTATGACCTTTCCAGTTCACAGTTTGTTGGACAGTCGGAGTAACAATAATAGTGGTTTACAGAGATTTCTACAGATACCCTTGGATCTTCTCCCTTGAAGACAAATAGCAGCAACCCCACACAGCTCCATCTTAAAACAAGGAAACTAACGACATCTTTACACTTAAAATAACGCAATGCTTTTCAGAGAAAATGTAAGATAAGTATGGTTTTTCATTCATTCAATCATCATTGCATGATATATTTCAGAGAGTTTTATTTTACTCACAGGATGCCAAAAACAAGGAAATCAAGAAAAGTCATTTGGTCAATGAATCCTACCCTTTATACACCCACACACTCCCTGGATGCTCTCTCCCTGGAGGTTCCAGTGGACCAGAACCCAACATGTAGATTGTATCATAGAGGAGGTTCAGCAACTTGATGTAACATAAGATTATGGCTGATCTAACCGGGGCTGGAACAGAAAAACTATAATTGGGTTACAGAGAGGGAGAAATTATCTTTTGACCCCCTCCCCACCCCTTGCTGGAGAGTTCACATTTGCCAGACAACACACACTAGCGACTAGACTAAAACATGTAGATCACGAAATGAATCAGCAAAAGTTAGGGAGTTCTAAAAATAAAATAGTGGAGCAGGAATATAAGCAGCACAGACAGCATACATACTCCAGTTATGTTTTGTCCTTAGACCACTTGTGACTTGATGAACCATTGGTTTTTTTTCAGTCAGTTTTAGAAAATAATACCTCGGGATACTGTATATAGTTTGGGACACAACATTTCAAGTGGCTGCCAGGATAGTGGAAGGTGAACTGGATGGACCTTGATCTTGTTTCGCCAGCAAATTCTTACGCTCTTATGTTGTGTTTATAAATAGTCTATTGATGCTCAACTTTGACCTCTACTCTCTTATTTATGTCACTGGAGGTATATTCTTTACATTTCTGTGGCATTAATTGGCAGCAATGCACCAAGAGTTTATCTATTTATATCCAACTCTATTTTTGCCACTGAAACATGCCAATATAGCAGTTAAACACCAACTTCATTCAAATTCCTTTTGCATACAATGATTGTAAACATAATGAGATTGTTAAACTTTCATCTTTTTCATCGCTTTCATCTACAGTAATATCACCGTAAACGTTTCCTTTCATAATAAGCAAACATAATCACTCTTTTGTTATCTATTCTGGCTTTTGACTTCTGACGAGATTGTTAGAGGCAAAAGATTTATTTACCAGCTGCGAGAAGGCAAGGTTCCTGTAGTACGACTTGATTGTTGCAACGAGCAAGTGGAACTATGGCAGATGGTAATCATATCGCGTCTACTTTCAATCAACGTCAGATTTTTTTTCAGATAAAATACTGTATGAATTTTGTTTTCCCAAACACTAAAATAGATTTATGGGTGTTGCTATTTCTGCAGTAGAATAACAACATTTTGTTATCTGCCATAACCATTTCCTGCATACCAGCGAGCTGTTATACTTAGGAAAACTACTGCTGTCGTTCATTTGATGAATTGACTTCCTCCAACGACAAAAACTGAACTCCTGTTCACAACCTGTGCACAAATGCTCGAAACGAATAACTTCTGGAAACTATAGTTGATAAAATTAAACATTGAACGTGCGTCTACTGTTAAATACAGTGTATATGACCTGATTGCAAAATGGAATATAGGTGCAATGGTTTGGCTGGCTTTGCCCAATTAACATGCATCTTTGTGGGTCACCACTGTGTACAATTGGCTGCCACGTTTCACCCACAAAATCTACAGTCAACTCACTTTGCAGTATATTCTGTGAAGTGCTTTGATATGTCTTGAAGATGTGATAAGGCGCTATGTCAAATGCAAGGATTATTATTTTTATTATTATCTTATACCTGTTCCGCAATCTTTTTGACCTTGATGTTAAACAATTAAGGAACAGAACAGATGGTATGATATCCAGCTGAAACAACTATCTTTGTTCCCTGCATATATGCCAGGTGTGTTATGGTCATCCTGTCAGTGTAAAGTGTGAACCATACTTTAACTTATGAGCGAAGTGACAAAATAACAGTTTTTTTGGCTCTTTAAGAATGCTGGCTCTTTAGGTTGGCAGCTGTTCTTCCACATCCAGTATGTTGAGTACGTGCATGGAAAAGAATTCAAGCAACAACCTTCTGTTCCACAAACAGTGACAGCAGGGTAGGGAGAAATAGGATTTGTTAATTCCTAGAAAGAAGCTTTGCATCTCAGCAAGTCAGTGACGAATGAATAAGACCAAATAGTCCTTTTGTGTTGTTTACTGGAAGTATCATATGATATGATAACATTCATTGCACTTTTGCTAATAGTGTGGCATGAAAGCTATTGAATATTAAGGAGCGTTCTGATATTATTTGGAATATGGGAACGTTTTATCTGTGACAACATATTGAAGCAACAGTATACAGTGATCAATAAACAGTTGGATCATTACGAGCAAGTAAATCAGATTGTTGTGAGTGCCTCTTCATTGCGGCTACAATTTTTAAAA